ATATCCCCAATTCAATCACCAATCAAAGCCAACCAAACCCTCAAAATCGTGTTCCTATTTATATCAAAACAGAAACCCAAACAGAATCCAAATAGGAACTCAAACTGTGCAGAAAACCCGAAATAAGTCGACTTAACAGGGTCTATAAGTCGACTTGGCAGAGCGAAAATCAATAACTGGAGAACAGAACGTAAGTCGACTTAACAGTGGGAACAAGTCGACTTATCATAAGTCGACTTAACAGTCTCTATAAGCCGACTTGACCGAGCCAAAACCAACAATTCGAGAACAGAACGTAAGTCGAATCATGCACAAGCATAAGTCGACTTGCCATAAGTCGACTTATGCATGTGCATGAGTCGACTTATGACACAAACTGGAAATTTTAAATTTCTCCACAAATCTTCACCTCGGCGAAGTTTTCCCAAGACTGAGCCGACACTAATACCAACCAAACGTCTCACTTATTGTGTCCAGTACGAAGTGGAACAAAACCATGACAACGGACTCAATCCACAACAAGTCGAGACCCAAATGAGAATGTGATCACTCTCCAAATATCGATGTCTACTCACCAAACCGGCTGCATCATAAATGACTGCCTACGTATCCTCTTGCCCAAGGAATCAAGGATTTACGTAGTTCACCCAAATGGCCTCCTAAGGCCCTCAATCCAATAGAAGAGTTCTCAACTCTTCACCAACAAATCTGCGGCTGATAGCTCTCTCAATGGCCCCAAAGTGAAACAAACCAAACACCTCCACATGAGGTGAACCAACGGCCATGTCCAAATCTAAACTATGTCCACCAGCTGCACTCGAATTAACCAACTCATCATATGTATCCAAATCAACATGATCCCCAATCTGTGTCACCTCAGCTGAAATCTCAAACGATGCAGTATGATCTGGAGTATATGGAGTAATCTCCACCTAACGTGGAATAGCATCATCCTCCACCCGCTGCGATATCCCAACGATCTGATCAACACTCTCCACCTGTCGAGAGTCAAATGTGACATACCTGCTCAGAACAAAATCAGAGTCTCCCAACTGATAACCAAATGAGCCTCTGAATCCTAAACGTGCAATCGGATAAAATCTCACATCTTCAATGTGACCACATGCTGGGCAACCAAACATCCGATGCAACCCAAAATCTGAAGTAGCTCCACCAGATCCAAAATCTTTAAATGCAGCAGTCGACAGCCTATGACTAAGATGATCCAAATATGTCGAAGCCCGAACACCAAAACCAATGTTCGATATCCAATGCCGATCCTCCTCCAGCGAGGAACGACCCATCAAAACTGTCATCTTATATCGTCACCCTAATGTTCCTCTCCAATGAAGTGTCTCAAACTGCTGTGAGCTCGGCACAAATACAAGAAAGAACCCCTACTAAAAACAGAAAGACGGGTTACCTTTCTGCCAATACACTTCCTCCATCTGTTGTTGACTTCTAGGACTTCACACCAACAGGACTTGGTTGCAACCCACCAATGCCTAGAATAGTCCCCAACTACGAAAACCAAATACCGATTATCTCCCAACAATGCCTTCTTGGAAGGTCCCCAAATGCCTGAATGAACACCACCTAGAATACCTTTCAATCGTCGAATAAAAGTGCCAAACTCTACCTCGGTCTCCTTGCTCATACCAATGTACTCAAAGGACTTCAATATGCAAGTCAAGGAACTTCTCAATAATCCAATACCCCAGCCTCAACTCCTTCCATCTTGGCCATCTCCAACTGAAACCCTAACAAGGGCCTCCGAAAGATCTCACCCCACACGACGGAAACGAGATCCACAAATAGGAAAAATCCCACATTTATCACCAACTGAAACCTTAGACTAACTTCCAAAGCGATCTACTCCTCCAATTAGTCCAAGCGTAGTCCAAGCTCTGATACCACTTGTTGTGCTCACGGAAGCCACCAAACTTATGTGCTTAGAGAAACCAAACCAAACAAACGCCGAGAGAATGCCAAACTAACCAAAATAATGCCAGAAACACAAACAACTAATTTTTACGTGGTTCAACAAGTTGCATATGTCCACGGGGCAAGAAGGGGATGGAGTTTTCACTAATAGAGAAGAAGAGTACAAACTGAGATTACAAATCACTCGAACTCACGAATTAATCTCACCAACAAATCTCTAACTCTCTCCAAACAAAACTCTAATCAATAGCTCAGAAAATACTTTTTTCTGTACTCCAAATATCCCCAATTCAATCACCAATCAAAGCCAACCAAACCCTCAAAATCGTGTTCATATTTATATCAAAACAGAAACCCAAACAGAATCCAAATAGGAACTCAAACTGTGCAGAAAACCCGACATAAGTCGACTTAACAGGGTCTATAAGTCGGCTTGGCAGAGTGAAAATAAACAACTGGAGAACAGAACGTAAGTCGACTTAACAGTGAGAACAAGTCGACTATAAGTCGACTTAACAGTCTCCATAAGTCGACTTGACCGAGCCAAAACCAACAATTCGAGAACAGAACGTAAGTCGACTCATGCACAAGTATAAGTCGACTTGCCATAAGTCGACTTATGACTGTGCATGAGTCGACTTATGACACAAAAACTAGAATTTTCAAATTTCTCCACACAATCTGTATATATTTGTGTTTGTCTCTGTTTTTTCTACTGTTGTAAATTTGCAACACACTGGATTAAAGATAATCATTGAGCTTCACATTGCTATTGTGAGTTGGTGCTTGTAACTCCTTGAACATGCTTCGATACTTTAGATTAACTTAGTAGATTAAGATTATTTTCATATTTGAATCTCATACTTTAGTATTAATTTGGTTTTTTTTCCCGATATAAGTCCCTTAATCGTTAGTACTTTGATATTAGTTTGTCAAATCTTCGTATTTTGATTTTAGTCACTCCAATTATCTTAATGTCTTCATATTAATCCTTCTTTACTGTTAAAAACCCAAAATCATGATTGGGTTTACCCTAACAATGATTGGCTAATTACCAAAAAAAAGCTCGCCAATTTCTGTTGTGCTCTTGAGAAGGTTTTTTTTTTTTTTTTTTTTTTTTTTTTTTTTTTTTTTTTTTTTTTTTTGCACTTTTTTTTATCTCCCTCCCAAAGTCTCTCGAAAAGTTTTTTTTTTTTTTTTTTTTTTTTTTGCACTTTTTTTTATCTCCCTCCCAAAGTCTCTCGAAAAGAAGATAGCAGAAGAAAGATGAATGTGTTTAGATTAATTAACGGATGTGGATTGGGAGGCTCTTAACTGGTTAGGATTAAGTGATTGTGGGTTTAAATTTGTTAGGTGAAGGACATAAATGTCCATTTAATATTGGTTAAGGAAAATAGAATATTCCCCCAAAATTATAACACCAACTAACCACATGAACCAAAATGGACTTAACGTGAAGAAAAATGAACTTAACACGAACCAAACTGGACTTAACACGAACCAAATGGACTTAACATATAATCCATTACTCTTAATATTCAACAAATTAGACTTATTATTCAACCCAATAGACTTAACATACAAGCCATTGGACTTATTATTCAACCAAATAGACTTAACAGACAAGCCCTTGGACTTCACTTCTAACTCATTAGACTTAATATTCCATCTTGGACTTAAACTTAATATAAAAAATTATCAAAAAAAACCAATAGCTTAGAGGTATTGAATTTGTGAGGACTTCGAGCTCCTCCTCCTCCTCCTCCATCACCGCCTCATCCGCCTCATTCTTCGCCACATCTTCGCCTTCAATGTCGGAGACCGATCTGTTCTTTGACGGATCCTCTAACTAAAACTCCGACGAATTTGAGGGTTTTTTAGTTTTGGGGTGAAAAGAAAGAGAGAGCGGGGGAAATTAGTGGGAGAAAAGAAGCGAATAACATGGCCAGAATGGTTGGTGGTGTCGAAAGGGGATATCGGTGTCTAGGAGAAGGAAATTGGTTAGGAGAGAGGAGAAGAGGAGAGGAGGAAGGAGGAGTAGATTTAGATCTGGAGAGAAGAGAGAGGAATAAATGAGAGTATTTTTGGCTTTTCTATTTATTTCTCTCTCTTTGTGCTTAGTTGGCATGGAATAAAGAGCTGAGCCACATGAAGTGATATTTTTTAGGGCTGCTCCACGTGGGGAAAAGGTGGAGGGGCTGACTCACATAAGGTTATTGTTATTGGGGCTTGACATAATTTTCCCAAAAACAAAACAAAACATTTAAAAAGAAAATCTCGCACGAGTTAAGTTGTCTCAAATGAGGGGTCGCTCTGAGCTCTTTTCATCTCTATCTCTCAACGCAAAGATTGGATTTGGGTTCGAAAATACGCGGATTCGCTGGCTGATCTCTTTGTTGATCTCCGATTTGAAGATGAACATCTCTAATTGTTGGTGTTTTGAAGAATTGACATCAATTTTCCAGTTCAATGTATAAAAAGATCTCTCCTTTCTTTCAAATCCTGCTCTATTTTGATATTATCACTAATAGAAAAATGAGCATTGGCGACGGGGAAATCCGTCGCTAATGCAGCAAAATCCGTCACCAATACACTTTCGCGACGGGGCGGAGTCCGTCACCAATAATCCTGTCGCCAATAAACATTGGCGACGAGGAAATCCGTCGCCAATGATCATTGGCGACGGATAGGTATTGGCGACGAAAAACATTAGCGACGGGTTATAGCCCGTCGCCAATGTACATTGGCGACGGGCACTTCCCGTCGCCAATGTACATTGGTGACGGGTGTTGCCCGTCGCCAATGTATAACTCGTCGCCAATGTACATTGGCGACAGGTTATAGCCTGTCGCCAATGTATAAAGTGCTTGTCGCCAATGTACATAATCAGGTAAAAAAATTATTTCTGCATTGCAAAGCCCCCCAATCGGGAATGCGTACCTGTTACTACCATTATTCACAATATATTGAACAATACTCACAATATCACATTTATCGATTCGCATCCAACAATATTCACGTTCACCGATTCACATCCAACAATATTCACATTCACATCCAACAATATTAACATTTACATTCATCGATTCACATCCAACAATATTAACATTTAACAATTCACATATATACATAATCAGGAGGTCATAATATGTTCAACACAATCCAAAAGTCCACATAATCAGGAGGTCATAATATGTTCAACACAATCCAAAAGTCCACAAAAGTTACCAAAAAGTCTAAGTCACCACTCACTCATCATCATAGTCGTGGTCCCTATTGTCGTGATCTCTATCATCGGTGGCGGCTGCATCAAAATATCGTACCGTACTGCTGCTTCCTACGATGGTACCTCCTCTAGCCTAAAAAGAATGTAAATCAATATGAGAACATATTCCAAAATACTCATAATAAATACATATATATAATATGACATATATACCTCTCCACCACTTGCAGATGCATGCTCATCAAATGCCAACACCATAATATCCATGTATATAGACTGCGGAAGCAAGTCCTTTAAGAGTTGAGAATCGATGAGTCGCTGAACGACATCCCAAGTCGTTTGTGCACCACTTAACTCGTGCTTAATAGTGGGAAGAAAACTTAAAGCCAATGGAATTTTAACATTCTTCATCAAGTATTTTCCAATCTTACCCACGACATATGACGTGTCACCGTGTCGCGTCGAGGTCACAGATTGGCTGCTAGGCTTATTGGTGGTAACATCGTTGAACATTGTGTGCGTATCGTCTATATTTCTATCATCTAATTCAATATCTTCACCTTCTCCGTGAAAACTCCAATATTTATAATTTTCATCAAATCCCCATCTTTCTAGGTGTCTTCGTATAGCAACTCTATCCACCAGACCTCTATTCCTACACTTACTGCATGGACAACACAACAAATCGTTCTCTATCTTCCTCTGATTAGCATATGCATATTCAAGGAATGCTTCCCATCCGTCTCGATATCGAGTATCACCTTTCGCTCTTCTTTTCAATATAGGAATATCAATCCATGACTTATCAGGAACTTCTCTCATCTGTATAAAAGGAAAACTTATTAATTAATTTAATATCTCTTAAATCGTCATAAGTTTAATAGTCTTTATTTTAGTTGATTGAACAAATAATCAAACGAATTAAATTAATCTTCTATAATGGCCATTGTTGTACCAAATAAAAGCTAACACTCTATGATAAGTAATAACATAGGTATCCGAGGAGTAATCTTCCAATTGATAACCTTACGATGCAGTGATGTGACAATGGTATCAGAGATTCTACTCTGATATCCTTTTTTATGTAGCCTATAGACAGTTAAGATGTGGTATCTCTATGTAATATTAGAGTCATGGTAGAAACCTCATTCTGTGTACACTGATGAACTAGCACGTGATTATAGAGACAGAGAGTTACTAGTTGGAGAAAATCTACATTCTGTGTACACTGATGAACTAGCACGTGATTATAGAGACAGAGAGTTACTAGTTGGAGAAAATCTATTAGTACTTTTTTCCATGTTTTCTTTATAGGAAAATTATATGTCCAACATAGTAGATACTTGGATTCATTGCCTACTTTTTTCCATGTTTTCTTTATAGGAAAATTATATGTCCAACATAGTAGATACTTGGATTCATTGCCACCTCTTTTTCTTCTCTTGATAGTTACTTTAATCTTGGCCTGGCTTTGGGATTTCTCCTTTAGGTCACTTTCGAGTTTATGACAATAGACTACTTGCTTCGGCTGGATGTCTCCATCTTGTTGTTGTGCTAGTAAATTCTCAAGTTTTCTTTCGGGAGTCCATCTCTGACACATGAAATGTATATATAAATATCTACTTTATTTTTGTTTGATGGAAGTAAATATTGCAAATTTGTCACTTACAGAGCAACTTTTTCGACCTGCTTCACCTGAAATATTGATTTTTCATGTGACCCATTTTAATTCTTTGCTCAATGCACAAGCCACATGGATGATCAGAATTTTGAAGGACTTTTTGGTGGTTTCACATGCATATTGTTCTATTAGACTGATTTTTCACAAAAGAAACCGTGACTCAGAAATTTCTACCTAATGGGGACTATATTGGAAATAAATAATGTATTATGTTTTCTTTTTTGTTAATTCTTCATTCAACAAAGTTCTGAGTTTGAAAATTTGTATGTACCCTATTGTAGCACCTCATGACAAGTGAAGCTGTTCCAGCCTTCGTATCTTTTGCATGGTGTGTAGTAGCCTTCAGACCAACCTAATCCCTCCCTCCACACACGAACCTCCGCCCAACCCGCCCCCCCCAACCCCACCCAACGGCAACGCATTGGCATGACAACTTGCAGTTCAAGAAGTCTGACCTTCTGCCTTAAATGTATCGCAACTACATGCAGTTTGGATTAAAAAGGCGTCAAATAATGAACTTCGTTGACTCTGTATCTCAGAATTTTATGCTTAAACTTCTTGGTTTTAAACTTCTCCGAGAAAACACGACCATGCAGCGATATCTATTAGCCAAGTCTATCAGTATCTATTTGAAGACGGCAGGATGGCAAAGCAATCAATGAGCGTCTTAATCTTAGGAAACGCGGAAATACTACGCTTTTCTCAAATTTTATTTTTTTTTTTTCCCAATACTCTCTCTTTGTTAGAACCCACAATAATTTATTTAAATATTTCTTGACGTATACCTCTCGCTAAAACGGCGCGCGCTGCGGCGGGTGGCGTGTATCGGACTCGGGGGGAGAATGCGGCGGTCTCGGCGGGCTTCGCAGCGGGCCGCTGCTGCTGGCGGCGGGTCGTCGAGTGCGGCGCCGTCGCAGGTTTTCGACGGAGGGCAGGTCTCGTCGGGGGCCGATCGAGAACCGCGGCTGCGCGACCTGGACCGTCGGCATCGGCGGCGGAGCCACGGACGGGCGATACACGGAGACGTCGCGGCGGCGGCTCCAAGGGACGGCCCGGGCGGGCGTCCAGGCGCGGCGCAGACGGGCCGGCGGGTCCACGGGCGGGAGAACGGAGGATCTGCGGGACTGGAGACGACAGGCCACGCGGAGAGCGGTTTGGCCGTTTGATTTGGATTTTAGGGTTTTGCGTTTAAATTATGTTCCTTGTCGATTTTTAATTTTAGCCCCTCAAAATTTTTATATTTCAAATTAGTTCCCGAATAATCTCATAGAAATTGCTATTGCACCCTTAAAATCTACACTATTCTTATCAATTTTTCTTTTACATCCTGCTTAGTTTTAAGCCGAGTTAGATGATTAGATTATTCAAAATTAGCTCCCTCAATACTACTTATAATAATACCGTCACTTGGCTATTCTTCATATTTCAAAAATTACTCCAAATCATGGATAATTTACTATTACATCCACAAATCATCACTAATATTTACTATTAGGTCCTGGTTAACACCGGTAATATATTATAAAGACAATATTCTATTAAATCTACACTATTATTACTAGTTTCCCTTAGACTTTTAATTTACTCCGTTCCTCGTATAACAACACCGATATTCGTTAATTATTATGCATTAGTATCGGTAGCGTGTAGAATATCCTACAGAGAATAACTTTTCTCAGACAATAGCAAATATATGTGTCTTTAAACAATAATAGTAGATGTGTTTCATGAGCCTAGAGCGTACGGAGGTGGACATGCTGCAAACCCAAATAATGCAATAAACTGTCTTAGTTATGTATTCACCTAGCTTAAAATTCGCTCAAATTTGGATTCGCCTATCTGCACTTTATACAATAAAGGAGTGAATCAGCTATTTAGTTATTAACTCATAACAACACAATAGAAATTAACAAAATATGCTATTCGATTTTCTTGTCATAAATCTTTCGTTCAATCTTGAGACATTAAGCTTTAAAAAAATGCCGAAAAAGACAATTTTAGAGAGGGAAAATTAGTAAAATTGATGCTTTCGGGCGAGGTGAGGGGGGCGGGCGGGTAGAAATTACCAAAATATGATTATCTAAACGGCGGCCGTGGCGGGCGGCGTGTCGTCGGTCGGGAGAACATGCGGGCGGGTCTTCGAGGGCGCCGTGCGGCGGCGCGGTTCGTCGAGGGCGCGTGCGGTCGAAGGAGCAGGTCGTCGGGGGGAGAGACGCGGGCTGGCCGTCGATGGGTTAGGGCGACGCGATGGGGGAGACGTCGGGCCTGGGTCCAAGGACCGGCGGGCGGTCCAGCGGGAGACCGGCCCCCGGGAGTCCCAAGG